TTCTACTACCTTACAGTGAATACTGTTAAAACAATGTTAACGTAATCCACATATTTCTACTACCTTACAGTGAACACTGTTAAAACAATGTTAAATTAATCCACATATTTTATTACCTACGTAGAGCACTGTTAAAACAATGTTAAACTTAATCGTAACATATATGTTTCTGTTATTGATTTTATCTCATTCGTAAACAGCGTACTAAACTTTAGTTATTTCCTCTCAAACATTTTCATCGCTATAACATAAAAATGTCATATTTATGTATGAATATATTCTCTTTCTGTAACCCAAGTACATCTCAATCAATCTCCTTGATGTAACGTAATCAATATCTTCGCTTTATCTCATATAATTTCCAACGCAACCGATTCCGTTCTTTAAATTAATTAAATATTTCCTATATATCTTTGGTCTCTTGCGATGTTATTCGCTTAACTAATCTTGGTATAATAGAATTTGTTCTGTCACGTAGACTCAAAAACCCACGTCGTTAGTGAGTTGGATCTGTTAATATAACTCATTAATTTACTAAGCCTAACATTAAGATTTTTTCAATTTAACTCCACGAACTTCTTAAGCCTAGCTTTATTTAGTTAATATAATTCAAGGAAGTTCTTAGGTATATCCTTATGTTTAGTATAACTCAAGGAGTATCTTAACTATAGCCTTATGCTAAGTATATCTCAAGGAACTTCTTGAAGTTAACTTTTTAAAATAGAATTCAACAGACTTCTTAAGCATATCTTTATTAAATTTCATTATATAATTAAATTTATTTTTGTAAATTATGTTTCAGTAGTAACTCTTGATTTAAGTATGTTTTATTAAGCGTAGTTCTTCTATTGGTTATCTTCGCTGTGTCTACAGGAGGATCAGTCCCTAATTTCTAAGGTATTAAGACCCCTCAATCTGGGGGCTGTTTAATCCACAACTTGATAGTTATGTCACTGTTATAGTCACAAGCCCTGTAGTTACACTGTACATATTATGGACAAAAACTTACGTTACGGACCATCATTCCAATCATTCCTGTCCAACTTCCGTTCGGTAAACGAATTCCCCACTGGTGATCTTTGGGCACAATTAGGGTGTACCTGTGATAAGAGAATTGCTAGGCAACACGTAAATGTTAGTTTCACCAAAGAACAAGATGTCAAGAGGTAAATCAAATGATAGATTAGGCTTCACATTTTTATTTCTTGAAATAATCTTCGTGTTCTTGAATAAATTTATAGATTATCTAGTGATTATGTAAACTAATTAATACATTGACTAATGGACTATAGTTAACAATAGATGAATTAATGTATTTCCTACGTACTGTAGCAGGATCCAATATATACTTCAGGTAACAGCTGGTCAACATTGGGTAATATTGTTACTAAATTAAATGATAGATTAGGCTTCACATTTTTATTCCTTGAAATAATGTTCGTGTTCTTGAATAAATTTATAGATTATCTAGTGATTATGTAAACTAATTAATGAATTGACTAATGGACTATAGTTAACAATAAATGAATTAATGTATTTCCTACGTACTGTAGCAGGATCCAATATATACTTCAGGTAACAGCTGGTCAACATTGGGTAATATTGTTACTAAATTAGATGAAAGGAAACAAATCTACGTCAAATAAAAATTAAATACTTCCAGATGTTTTAGAAAAATCCAAATCCTAACTACGTACGTAAAGTTTACAGACTTCGCTAGAAACTCCAGAACATCCGCCATTGGGCCCTCTATGGCGACTTTCCCATCGCTTGTCTCATTCACCCACACCCACGGTTCCCACTAAACAAACAAACAGACAAACAAACATTTTTCATTCTTTTTTTGTCTCTTTAACCATGTATAATGTTTACTTTGAAATATCTCATGTGAAACATTTAAACTACTTATTGAACTTTGAGACATTTCTTGCCTTCAGGTGCTTTCCTTTTCTTGTTTTTTTACTTAACAAAGTTAAATCAAATATAAATTTGGTCATCTTAAGAGAAAGCAAGTTGAGTATTAAGAAAGTTAATCTTTTAACAACAAATATTGTGATTGACAGTCATATTATAACACCTCCAAGGCTGAAAGGGCGAGCATGTTTGGCGCTGGGTTTCGATCTTATGACCCCCCAGATTGACACCCTACCCACCAGGAAAATCCCAAGCAATTTGCTTTTGGAAAAGGCAAGTCAGAGGTCAAAAGCTGATTATTTTCATGCGTGAGAAGTTTCTGATGGACAGAAAGTGTTCAATAATAGATTGATTAATGATTAGAAATCTGAACAAAAGCAAAGAAATAACCCAAACTTTACTCCTCAAAATAGTGTTAGTAAAATCCTCACTAGGTGCATGGTTCTCCACTCTACCACTGAAAATATAATCAGAAGTTGTAATGTTATAAAATAGTGTTAGTAAAATCATCACTAGGTGCATGGTTCTCCACTCTACCACTAAAAATATAATCATAAGTTGTAATGTTATAAAATAGTGTTAGTAAAATCATCACTAGGTGCATGGTTCTCCACTCTACCACTAAAAATAT